ACACACACACACACACACACACACACACACACACACACACACACACATATATATTTTTAACAACTGTGGCCTCTTGAGTTCACCCCAAGTGTGCTTAATCAGAGGTCTTGTAAGCAGATGACTGATGAATTTCAGACTATGGACTTCATCCATATAGCCTGGGTGGAAGATCTTTCTTTAGTGACTACAAAGGAGAGCACGGGTCTCAGGCTGCGCCATCTACATACCCCCCCCCCCAATGCTTTGATTGCGCCTGATAATCACAGCCAATGATGCTTAACTATGACACTTTCACTGGGACTTCTTGGAAACGAGGTATTGCCATCCCAACAAGGTTGGTGAGAAACGAGCCTGTAGCTGTCGGGACCAATAGGACACATGAAAGAGTGATGCCAACCCAGACATCCGGACTGAGATTCCTAATAATCTAGGTTCAAACAAAACTCATGAAAGGGACAATGACGTGGCTCGGCAGGTAAAGGAGCTTGCCACCAAGCCAACGACTCAAGTTCAGTCCCTGGGTCCACATGACAAAAGGAGAACAGGAATTCCAGAGGGTTGTCCTCTGACCTCCGTACATGTGCTGTGGCATGTGTGTGCCAGCCACACCACAAAGAGATTAAAAACAAGAACAACTTATTTTATAAAGATCTATCTATTTACAGAGATAAAAATGCTCTAACCACACAGCTCTGTCTTTCAGGAATAAATGATCTGCTGCATGTGAAGTACAAGGGTACCATACCTGCCCCCTCCCAAAATGGTGATTTTGACAACTGGTAGGAAGAGCAAAGGACTAGGCATGGTGGTTGTTATGGTTTGTATATGCTCAGCCCAGGGAGTGGCACAGTCAGAAGGTGTGTCACTGTGGGTGTGGGGTTTAAGATCCCGGTAGCTGCCTGGAAGTCAGTCTTCCACTAGCAGCCTTCAGATGATGTAGAACTCTCAGCTCCTCCAGCACCACACCTGCTTGGATGATGCTGCCATGCTCCCACCTTGATGATACTGGACTGAACCTCTGAACCTGTAAGCCAGCACCAATTAAATATTGTCCTTATAAGAGTTGTCTTGGTCATGGTGTCTGTTCTCAGCAGTAAAACCCTAAGACAGTGATGTATGCTTTTAATCCCAAAATTCCAGTGCCTGAGAGAGGAGGATCATAAGTTCAATGCCAGAACAAGACCCTGTCTCAAAACATCAGGGATTGAGATGTGACTCCCTGGTCCAGCCCTTGTCTAGCATATGCAGAGCTCAGATTTTAATCTCCAGCACTGCAGAGGTGAAGACAGGACCCTGTGTTTCACCCTCGCGGCCAGCCACTGGTGTAGGAGGGAGGCAGGTGGGGCTCACGCACCTGCTTGGGGGGCTTGTGCCGGTTGTACTCCTCCCCCCAGAGCTTCGCCTCCATCTGGAGCTGCACATCCTCAAAGTACACACTCCTGTCCACTGGCTCGATGTAGCGTTTTGCCACGTAGTTGGAGGCCCCCTTCCATTGCTGGGCATGCAAGAAGTTGGAGAGCTTCTTCCTAGGGAGAAAGACAAGGGGGAGCCTGTCTAGACCTCAGAGGCTCACTGAGGACACAACTTTGAGATCTCAGAATAACCAGACCCTGTGTGACACAGCTGCGTGGAGGAAGGAAGAGAGTACAGCAGGTACAGGAAAGGCAACACCCCCAGTCCTCCATCCAGAGCCAGAGGGGAAAGGACCAGTGTCTGTGGCCTCCCACCCGACTCCCTGTGCCTCCAAATACCCAAGCAGGTGAGTGACATTCCCTGTCCTTCCACAGCCCTGCAGCTGGGCCAGTGCGGGGTCCAACAGACACTAGATGGAGAAGAACATGGGCTGCAAGGAGGCTTAGGTTACTTGTCCCTAGCCTTTGATTAGGAGTACCCCAAAGTCCTAGCTTTTAGGAGTCTTGGCAGAAGCCCTGGGCCAAGTCACTTACGTCCTGAAGCACTCCCTCATTGCTCCACGGCCGAAGGGCTGAAAAGACAGGACAGAGTCATCAGTGCCCACACCCCATGATCCCCTTGCCACTGACTGCCCAGTGGGTGTCCTGTACTTTACTTCAATCCCAAGAATCCTAGGCTGTCCCTCCTGGGCCTCAATACCAAAGCTAGAGAGGCCTTTCAGCCTGGAGACTGCTGGAATGAGGACTCCCGAGAAATCATCTCAACCCAATGGAAGAAAGGACAGTGTGAGGCCCAGATGCTGGGAGAGGTGCAGTGCACTACAAAGGGTGTTTTTATAGCCTTCGCTTTTCTCTCTGTCTCCTGGCCACCATCAGGTGAACAGGCCTCCTCTGCCACATGCTCCAGCTAGGACGTACTGTGCTCACACAGGCCCAAAGCAACAGGGTCAATAGACCAGGAACTGAAAGTTCTGAAATCACAAGCCAAAATAAACCTTTTCCCTTTAAAATGACTATGTAAGCCAGGTATAGTGATGTACATCTTTAATTCCAGCCCTTGGGAGGCAAAGAAAGGAGGAGCCTGGTCTATACAACTAGTTCCAGGACAGCCAGGACTAGATAGAGACCCTGACTCAAAACAAAAACAAAAACAAACCAAAAAACCACCACCAACAAAATCCAAAGTGAAAAACAAAAAACAACAATGATAATTGTGTGGGCAATTGTGCCAGAGGTAAGAAAAGCTGAATAATCCTCAAAACAGAAGGAAGGAGGCTAGAAAAATGGCTCGGCAGTTAAGAACATGTTCTGTCTTACAGTGCGCCTAAGTTCAGTCCCAGCATCCACGTCAGCATCTCATAATCACTTGTAACATCAGTTTACAGTCCTCTTCTGGCTTCTAAGGGCACTGTACTCATTGGCCCAAGTGTGCACGTGTGCACGCACACACACACACACATGCACACACACTTCCCCCCCCCCCCTCTCTCTTTCTTTCCTTCTGCAGTGCTAGGGATAAATACCAAGGCCTTGTACATGCTAGGCAAGAAAACTACCAATAATCTGCTTCCCAAGCCTGAACTGTGTAAATTAGGTGGGCGATTCGTATGGTATGTGAGATACATGTTAATGAACTAGTGTGTAAGGACACGAAATGTGGGCTGATGAGATGGCTCAGTGAGTAAATTTGCATGCAGCCAAGCCTGACCAGAGCCACATAAAAAAAAAAAAAAAGGTCAGGAGGTCAGGTGTCGTGGCGCACGCCTTCAATCTCAGCACTTGGGAGGCAGAAGCAGGCAGATGTCTCAGTTCAAGGCCAGCCTGGTCTACAGATCAAGTTCCAGGACAGCCAGGGCTACACAGAGAAACCACCCT